TCATTATTCATGTTCATATACCCATTCCCAATCTCATACTCATCCTCATCTTCAGCCTCAGTCTCAGCCTCAGCCTCAGCCTCAGCCTCACCATTATCATCCACATCCTCTTCGTCAGAAAATAAATGTGGACTTTCGCCACCCGGATAGTCATTTTCCTCCTCCACCTCCTCCTCAACAAATTCATCGTTATTGAACTGAAATAGGTCATCCACCTCAAATAAATCCCATCCGTGATCATTGTTCGTGGCATCGCCTGGTTTGCAGTGTTTTCTTTTATTACTCTCACAACGCGGAGCTTGGATGTCGTCGAAAGCGTCGTCTGCCTTTACTTGTAGAGTTCCATCTTTAAGCGTACATTTAGTGCTGAGAACAACCATTTCATTCCCCTCATCCTTTTGGGTTTCAGCAGCTTTCTCTGTTGCTTTCAAAGCACCACTTGCAGTGCGTTTCATATTTCTGACAGCGGCCCTTGTTGAAGTACTTGGCTTGTTATCGTTATCCTCCTCAACTTTTTCTTCCTTTTCCAATGGTAATTCATAATAATTTTGCAGCAAACTCTCATTAATTGAAGACTTTTCATCAGAACTGTCGACTTCATCATTGATGGAGGAGATTACTATTGTTTCTTGAGTGCTAATATTAAAGTTACCACGATTTGAGATTAGTGAAAAGCCTGATTGAATATATGTTAAAGTATTTCCATAATGACTATCAATTTGAGACATGTCTGGTTCGTTATCTGATTGATTACTCAGTCCGTGCGATAGAAGTGCTCGCAATACCTCATCAGTTGAAGACTGCAATGTAGCACTTTCCACATTGTCAAATTCCTTGATTCCTTGCGATATTAGTTGGTTAAATATCTCATCAGTTACAAAGTTTAAAATCTCCTCTTCAATGTTATTGTTTGATTGGCGTTGATTCTCAGAGTTCTCTGAAACGTTTCCTCCGAATTGATTCTCATGTACAGACATAGCCGACGACTCTTTAATTTCGATGGCTGATTCTATTTGACTCTGAGCTCTGAGCTCATCAGCTAAAGATTTTAGGATTGTATCGCCAAAATCGATAAAGTCATCCAAACAGCTATCTGAATCCTTGGGGAGATCACTTTCCTTGCCATCTGCAGTTTGATTCTCCTGGAACTCTTCAATATTCGAATTCTGTGTACGTTCTGTG